GCCGGCCAGGAGGGGGCCCGGCCGTGGGCGGAACCCTCAAGGCTAGAGGGGCCGGCGGCTGCAGCGGCTGTGGGGGCCCGAAGGGGAAAAAGAAGAACGGAAGGAACAGAGGAGGGAAAGCCAACAACCCCCCATACCTGCCCCCCGAGGTGAGCACTTGAGAAGTGGTGGGTGAGAGCAAGCCGCTTCTTCGATCCGGGGACCCCAGGGAGGAGGGACAGAGAGAATGAATCCCACATTCCGGCGTCAAGACCCCAGGGAAGAGGGTCGGGCGAGGGAACCCCCGCCTTCCGGTGGGACTGAGAGACTGAACCTCTTCGCCAGTGTCCGAACTCCCCTTGTAGAAGTGGGGAAAGGGGATCTTCCTTCCCATCTCCTTGGGAAAAGCAGAATAGATTGCCCTTACCCCCTGCTGTCCTGTGACAGGTGACTGGGGATTGCAACCTGGGATAAGAAGATAGGCAAGGTAACCACGACTTTTTCCAAAGTTGGTCCACAGTGTGGAGGGGGAAGCCAAGAAAAGAGCAGGGTGTTCTCTCCTTACCCTCCGGTACTCAGACACACACTTTCAGCCTACAGGAACAGTGAGACTTAGCCCTCTCACCCTTTGTCAGTCCTTTGAGGTGGTGGGGACAAAGAAGAACGTCTTCACACACTTGCCCGAACTCTAACTGCCTCATAATAACTGATCCCTTTGCCCCTCTTAGAAAAGGAGGGCCCAGGGGAAGAGCCCAAACCAGTTAAACTTTAGCATGCATCAAAATCACTTGGTTTGATGGACCTTTCCTCTAGAATTTCTGATTCAGTAGGTTCTGGATTGGATTAAGAATCTGCATTTCTTACAAGTTCCCCAGTGATGCTGATGCTGCTGGTCCTGGGCCCATCCTTTTAGCACCAGTGCTCTAGACCATTGTTGTACTTTTCTGAACCCATCTTATTTTCCATGCCCAGCAAAGTGTTAAAAAGGTTTCTAGATCCTCTTTTTGTTGATGGGAAATGATCAAAAAAGGAGGCAGGGATTATGGGTGAAGACCTGTCAGAGCCTGGGAGACAGAGGGCTGAGTAGTATCAGGAAGGGAAGAGAAGTAAAATGCCCAGAAAGGAGGAGGGCAGAAATTCTTGACTGACTAAAAAGAGAAAGCCATAGAATCAGCAGGTAAATTAGTGGTTGTTTGGGCCCAGGAAGTGGGGGAATAGGGAGTGACTTCTAATTGGGTGTAGGGTTTCTTTTGTGGATGATGAAAATTTCCTGGAATTAGATAGTGGAGATGTATACAACCTTGTGACTGTACTAAAATTCACAAGGTTGAAACTTTTTTATGATTTATGTGAATTATATCTCAATTTTTAAAATTCTCCCTCCCCCAATCAAAGAACAGAAGTACTGACAGGACAGAAGTAAGGATCCTCCAGACCCCTGTGGAGGTAAAGCAGAGGGAAGAGAGTGGGCTTCAAAAGTGTCCTCCTGACCTTTGGAGTCATTCTCCCTTGAATTACAGGATATTGGAGAATGAGGTTCGAAGAGATTGTGGGGTGAATTCAATATTTTACCTCACCTGGGACACTAGGATTAGGGGGCAGGAGATAAAAGCCATTGTGAGTATGGTTCATGGAGTCTCTACCCTTTACTCTGTTTTCTGAGCTTCTTCTGGTCATCTAAGTCTCAGTTTTGGAGCCCTGCTCCTCTTTCATCTGGGCTCCTTTCATAGGACCTGGAGTGACCAGTGCTGAACACCCTTTGGCCCTGGTCCAGAACCTCTTGCAGACTCTTAATCCTGATGACATCAGCTGAGGGGGGCAGGCTGCAAGGAAGCAGTGTCTCGTAGACTGGTGGCAAAGAAAGGTCTCAGCAGCCTGGACACACAGACTTCTGGTAGCAGCAGTTTGAGGCCCTGGGGAGACAGAAGGAGTGATCTTGGATTTGGGAAGAACATGCTGCCAGTGGTGGAAGAAAGAGACTCAGGGTTCTGTTTCTGGTTTAATAGGTGACTCAGTCTATCCTTAAAGGCTTTTCCTTTGGCCATAATGGGGCTGAGTAGAGGGCTTGTCTACCACTGATCTTTGGCAGGTACCTGCTTAGACAGGTGCCATTGGGACTTCCTGCTGTCTCAAGATAGCTGCCTGGATTCCAGGAAGTAGAGAACCAGGAAGTAGAGGTTGGGTCCAGATGGTGTGTGGTAACTGCTACCTGTTTTTATTTTTGTTGTTGTTTGTTTTTTTCAGGCTGAAGATGGAAACATCGAATATAAAGTGAGTGATAAGCTGGGGATGGCCAGAGGGCTAGGGTAGGTTGTCCTTGCCAGCATGGGATTCTTCCAAACCTCATGATCTATATCAATTTAGTAGTGAGTGGTTCAGGGTAAGGGCTCTATACCTCGTTCTGTTGGCAAGGGACTCGCTGTTAGAGGGGGTCAGAGATGAGGGGGGTTTAGTGGGAAGGGAGGGTCCTGGTCCTCTTTTCAGGACAAATGGGGAGCATGTAGGCTTGGGAGGAACACTTCTGATGTTACCTTCTTATGATACCCCACCTGCTCCAAGCTGAAGCTGGTGAATCCATCCCAGTACCGCTTTGAGCATCTGGTGACACAGATGAAGTGGCGGCTCCAGGAGGGGCGTGGTGAGGCTGTCTACCAGATTGGGGTGGAGGACAATGGGCTCCTGGTGGGGCTGGCTGAGGAGGAGATGCGGGCCTCCCTCAAGACTCTACACCGGATGGCAGAGAAGTATGCTTCCCCTTCCCCATCAGCTCTTTCTTACCTAACTCTGGGGAGGCCCAGGTATACCCAGTCCCTAAGACCTGAGGGGACGTGGTGGGACTTTTCTTTTGCTGCCTTCTATTGGCAAAGGGCTGAAGAGGGGAGGGTTAGTGTTCTGGGCTCTCTTCACTGGGCCTAGGGTTTTCTTTGTTTTGTAATTAGTTGTTTTGTTTTAAAGCTTTTATTGTGAATTGAGTGATAATTTACATGGGAGAACATCAGTTTTGCACTTACTTTATCATGTTTAAGGAGCTCTGGTAGTGTAGTGGTTACAAATCGGGTTGCTAATCTCACCGTCAGCTGTCAAAACTACCAGTTGTTCCGTGGGAGAAAGATGATGCTTTCTGCTTCCATAAAGATTTATAGCCTCGGAAACCCTGTACAGGGTCGCTATGAATTGGAACCAACTCCACAGCACATAACAACAACAACAACAACTATTGTGTTTTGTTTTATTGCAATGATTACAATCCCCTCCATGCATCATCATTTAACAGTATTTGCTTCTATTCCCTCCTTTTAAATTTTTTTTGATGTACACAAAATCACTCTGGAAATATATAATAATTGAAACAACCAAAGGGCACATTCTGCAATCCAGCCTCCTGCCCTCCAGCACACAGTCTTTCTCTTTCCGTGAGTCTAGAGTCCTCAGCTGCTCTATCTCTCCATGTCATCCATCACCTCTGCCTCCATCTCTGGTGTCACTCCTCTCTGGTTAGAAACCTAGGATTTTTGCTTCTTAAGCGTTTTTTGTTTTGTTTTGTTTTTTTAAAACAGCTGTGGATCTGGACTGAATTGGAGTGGGTGGGAAATAAAGTAAGCTATGAGAAGCACTGTGGGAGACATGGGAAGGTCAGTGAACCAGAATCAGGTTGGAACAAGGGGACTCCAGGTGAGGTATGGGAACTGTGGCCTTGCTGTGACAGGGTCGGGGCAGATATCACTGTTCTCCGTGAGCGAGAAGTGGACTATGATAGCGACATGCCCCGGAAGATCACTGAAGTGCTGGTACGAAAGGTTCCTGACAACCAACAGGTGAAGCACATGCCCTTCCTTACCCCCCAAGCTCACGTTCCCTGGGAGGGCTCTGTGGTAACAGACTACCCCCTGGTCTGTGATCCTGTGGGTGTTCATTACGTCGCTTGCTCCCTAGGGGTTATCACTGCTTTGACAGTGAGAGGGGAGGCATTGGAGCCCTTACCCCTGGTAATTCCTCCACAGTTCCTAGACCTCCGTGTGGCTGTCCTAGGGAATGTGGACTCAGGGAAATCAACTCTTCTTGGAGTCCTGACCCAGGGAGAGCTGGACAATGGACGGGGCCGGGCCCGGCTCAACCTTTTCCGCCACCTGCATGAGATTCAGTCTGGTCGAACCTCCAGCATCAGCTTCGAGATCCTGGGCTTTAACAGCAAGGGAGAGGTGCATGCACTCAATGGGACTCAGTCGGGTCAGCCTTTAAGGGTGGGATGGACAGTGAAGGACAAGGGTGGGGCAGAGTGTGGAGATTTTTTGTAGTAGTATAGATGAAGGCCCTAAGGGGATGAATAAGACGTTATTAGAAAACAACTGAATTAAGCCAGAAATGGGACTAAGGGTTAAGAGGCATGACCATCCAGGGACTAGTTTAAGTTTCAGCCCTGGTGACCGTAAAAGGGTTAGGGAGGCTGGTAGTGGCACTGAGAGCCCTGGGCTCTGGACCAGGTGGTGAATTACAGTGACTCACGGACAGCAGAAGAGATCTGTGAGAGCAGTTCCAAGATGATCACCTTCATCGACCTAGCAGGCCACCACAAGTACCTGCACACCACCATCTTTGGGCTCACCTCGTATTGCCCCGACTGTGCCCTCCTCCTTGTCAGTGCCAACACTGGGATTGGTATGAGGCATGGGGACAGAGACATGGTTGGGGTGGGAGTGGGATGTGTTGGCACTCTCAGAGCTGGAAACCAGACTAACTCTTTCTCCCTCTCCTTCCCACATACTCTCTCCTCTCCTGCTGTCTTCCTTCTCTGAGGCAGCTGGTACCACACGGGAACATCTGGGACTAGCCCTGGCCCTGAAAGTGCCCTTCTTCATCGTGGTCAGCAAGGTGGATCTCTGTGCCAAGACCACAGTGGAGAGGACGGTACGCCAGCTGGAGCGGGTCCTCAAACAGCCTGGCTGCCACAAGGTCCCTATGCTGGTCACCTCTGAGGATGATGCTGTCACTGCTGCCCAACAATTTGCTCAGTCACCCAAGTAAGCATGCCTCGCCCCAGAGCCTGATCTATAGGGAAGGCTGCCACAGGGAGCCAGTGTCCAGGAGCTTGGTATCCCAAATCCAGGGCCAGACCAGTTCTCCATTCTTTGTTTCTTCAGCTTGGGGATAGGGGGAGGGAATCTTTACTGAAGTACTTGAGCTCCCTGCTGTTCAGCCCTCACTGTGAGTCAGCCTGGAGGCTGATGCTCTGCAACTCTGGGGACAGTGATATACCAGGCACTCACCACCTTCCTGTGCTCTGGGTGGGCTTCATGTGCTCATTCACAGAGGATGAGTTTTTGGAGAAGGTTAGCAGATAGAAGGCTCTCAGCCAACCCAGACAGTAGCTCACCTTCCTATGTGTGGGGCCCCAGCCTCTGCCTCTTGTTGGGACTTTCCTTACCTGTCCATTCCATGACTCCCTTTCCAGTGTCACCCCTATCTTCACACTGTCCAGCGTGTCTGGAGAAAGTCTAGACCTGCTCAAAGTCTTTCTGAATATCCTGCCACCACTCACCAACAGCAAAGAGCAAGAGGAACTCATGCAGCAACTGACCGAGTTCCAGGTAGTCAGCCACCTGTATAGGCAGTGGTTGGGGAACAGGAAGGAGCTAGTTTGAACCCAGCCTGGAATCTGTATAAGATCTTGGACCTGCCAGCCCTACTTGGCAGCCCTTTGATGGAGTCTTCTTTAACTTTAGGTGGATGAAATCTACACAGTACCAGAAGTGGGGACTGTTGTTGGAGGGACACTTTCCAGGTGAATTGTCTTGCTTGCTACCCATCCCATTCAGTTCTCACATACTCATGAAGACATGGTCCCAAGGAGCAGACCCTAGAATTGAACAGAGACCAGTAAAAGGGTGTGCTTGTGTGCAGATTAGGTTTTCACGATCAGAAAGGCTGGAGAAAGCTAGTCTATTGGCTTCTGGGGGAAGAAACAGTATTGCTTATTGGGCATCTCCAGGCCCCTGAAGGGGTAGTGTGTGAAGCTTGGGGCCCAGGAAGAAAACTGGAGTGTACTCAGCTGACTTCATCTGAAAGTAGGGAAGATGAGAGGTCCTCACAACTCCATAGCAGAGGATGAAACTTGGGGGACCAAGGGGTAACTTGGCCCTTTAGGAGATTGTCCAACCAGCTGCTACCTCTCTGCCTTAAGAGTCTGAACTCTGGACTGGGACCTAGCAGTCATCCCTTTTACCTCCAACTCGGAGTTTTTAGGGTCCCTTTCCACCACCTCACAAATCATCCTTAGGAGGAGATGCCCCAGATGACCCTGAGCAGAATACTAGACAGGAGGGACCTAGGCTGACACTGTACCACCTGCCCTCTGGGCTGCAGTGGGATTTGCCGCGAGGGGGACCAGCTGGTGGTGGGCCCCACAGATGATGGCCGCTTCCTGGAGCTGAGAGTATGCAGCATTCAGCGCAACCGATCTGCCTGTCGTGTGCTTCGAGCTGGTCAGGCTGCTACATTGGCCCTTGGGGACTTTGACCGTGCACTGCTTCGCAAGGTGAGGTGGGTGGTGGAGTGGGAAACACTGAGAGAAATGCTTAGGAAAATGGCTGTCATGAGCACCATCTGAGGTGCTTCCGAGGAACTCTAAGGCAACATGGTCTCTGGCCTAAAAAGCTTATGGCCTGGTTACATAAGGTGTAAAACAGGTTAGAATACTCAACCAAGTGAGTCTGAGTGGTTGTGGTATAGCTGGTAGGACCCTACAGTACAAGCCACTCGAAGAGTTAGAGCACAGGAGTTTGAGTAGTGCCTTCTGAGGTCGGGTTGGGAGTGCTAGAGGAAGAGAAAAGTCAGTGTTGTCTAAGGGCAGAGGGAGAGTCTAATGCTAGGTCTGCCCTTCCTGGGCTTGGGGGCTGTGCCTCTCCAGGGCATGGTGATGGTGAGCCCCGAGATGAATCCCACCATCTGCTCAGTGTTCGAAGCAGAGATAGTCCTACTGTTCCATGCTACCACCTTCCGGCGGGGTTTCCAGGTGACAGTACACGTTGGCAATGTACGTCAGACAGCAGTGGTGGAAAAGATCCATGCCAAGGTGAGAGGGACCCCATTTCTCTGGGGAAAACTGGCTGGGAGGCCTGATCTCAGACTCACAGAAAACTCCCTGATCCTACTAAAAGAACACAACCCCACTCGGTGGGTGGAAGCCTGATAGGCCCCGGGGTGGAGAGCCATGACTAGTAGAGAATGGGGTGGCCAGTGACTGCCTATCTGCTGCAGGACAAGCTGCGGACAGGGGAGAAGGCAGTGGTACGTTTCCGCTTCCTGAAACACCCAGAGTACCTGAAGGTGGGCGCCAAGATGCTGTTCCGGGAGGGTGTCACCAAGGGCATTGGCCATGTCACTGATGTGCAAGCCATTGCAGCAGGAGAGGCCCAGGCCAACATGGGCTTCTGAGCTCCCCCAGGGACAGCTCTGTGGCTGTCCCCACAATATATGGTGACTTCCGCCCTGCTGCCCTCTGTTGGCGGCTTTGTGTGTTAATAGGCTTAGGGCGAGAGGGCTGCTCTGCCACTGGCTCCCCACCACCTTCCTGGAGAGGTGTCAAGCATGGCGTAGCCAGGGGAGGGGCGGTTCTGAGGGAGAAGAAAGGAGCACTCAGGGCCATGCTCAGTAGCTGTGCGCCCCCTGGTTGACTCATCGACCCTGACAACTCTGTGGCCTGTCTCCTGGAGGGAGCTGCCTGTGACCATCTCGGCCTCACTGTCAGGACTGAAAGCGACTCACCGATGTGGTCCTTGCACTTCAGAATTGTCACAATTAAGAATGGTTCTTGAAAGTACTCCTTTTCCTATACCTCTTCTCAAGGCCATGTAAGTTGCCCGTTGCTACCTGACTGGACAGAAATCTGCTCCTGGCTGCCTGGTGGCCCAGGGACAGTGAAGGGCAGTGCTTTCCCCCTGTGGGTAAGGCCTGGGGCCTGTTTCTCAGCTTTATCTCCCCACTCCTTCACTCAAAGGGCCATCTCCCCAGTCCCGCCTCTCACAGCCCCACAGGTGCTATTTGTTGTGCTGGCCCAGGTGTGGGGCTGCCAAGCTCAGGCTTGGCATACCGGAGGTCAGCTGCATGTCAGTCTTGTCCCTTACTCTGCAGTGATCTGTTGGTTTTAATGCTGGATCAAATAGTATGTTTGACTTTCCCAGACTAGTGACTGGGGACCTGACCCACTGCTCCCTGTCCTCCGCCACTCCTTTCCCTCTTTCCTGCTCCCACAGAGCCTCTCATTTTAAATTTTCAATGAACATCCCCTTCCCTCTGTTGCAGGGAACCGGGAGGCAAGGGAGAGCTGTTGCCATATTTCCTACTCTTTAAGGGCATGGACTCCCTCCCTCCCCTTTGTTAGTGTCCTGGGTTCGCATGGACTCGGATTAGTTGAGTGAGGTTTCTCTGCATATATATATATATCATATATATATATATATACACACACACACATACCACATATATATTGTACAGAATAAAAATGTTTTATTGGATATAGTGTGCTTATGCTTAAAAAACAGGTTAACCTCCAGATGTCAATTTCTCTCTGGGAATAGATGAGCCAACTGAAACGTCAGCATTGCTGACTTCTGAATGTGGAAATGGTACTCGACACTGGAGCAGTGACCCAGTATTGTAACCAAGTATTCCGGCCTGTTTTGTAGAGTCCTTTGAGCTAGCAGAATAGAAAGTGAAACTTAACCTTTTCAGCTGAAATAAGTAGCTACAATAAGGAGCCTGCCACTGTGCCCCGAAACTAATGCTGTTGAGAGATTTTGAGATTAGAGAATCAGCTGCTTACAGAAGAGTAGTTTTGAGACAAATGGTAATTTGGCTCTCCATGCTTTCCCTAGCAATGACAAGTAGCTTGAAGAGAGGTCTATGTACCCTCAACTGGATTCCTGGAGCTGCTAGGGCCATATGGCCTAATCTCAGTCCCTCTTCCTCTTCCAGAATATCTGTCACATTTTATAGGTATAATGTCAGCTGCAAAAAAAAAAGGTACTTGCCAAAACAAATTTCATGGCAAGTAATTCCCAAGGTTCTACATGGCATTCTACTATTCATTGGTAGCTTTCCTACCTCTCAGGCTCAGCTGCTTTTTAAAATATCACTGGTTTCACTTGCTACTAAAAATCCTATGGTTAAAAAAACTTCCTGTATTGGAACTAAAAGCACTTTCTTTCTGTTCTGTTGCTGAAAAACAACTGTGAAGAAGGAAAGGCCATATGCAGCAGAGAGGCAGTACAGATTTTTACCTACGGTGGACTTGGTCATGGGCAGGGTTGGCATCCCTCAAAAACCAGAAGGCACATTGTTGGTCTTTACTGGTCACCCACTCTGACACACACGCACTGTCTCTCTAAGTCCAGTGAAACCTAGGTTTCCACTATGTTACTTTTTTACATGACTCATTCATTCTAAGAGCAGGAATCAGAAAAGGTGGAGAAGCATGTCAATCCGACTTGCTTCATTTGAGTTTTTGCTTTTAATATAAACTTTAGATAATCAACATCTCTGCACTTAATGAGACATCTCCTAAAATTAGTCACTTTACATTTATGTGACAATTAGGAAGATAAAAAAGTTGTAGAAGGCAGATTCCAAGGAGTATTGCTTCAGTTCTAGTAATTAGATCTCAACTTTCTTACTATATGCATTCACTCAGTCAAGATCAGACACCAGTTTTGTACAAGGCACTGAAAAACTCTTGCCTTCAAACTAGAAATCTAGTGATTAAAAATGGGCCACATACACTACCAATGTTTATTGTTGTTGTTAGGTGCCATTGAGTCAGTACCAACCCATAGTGACCTTATGCACAATAGAATGAAACATTGCCCAATCCTGGGCCAACCTCACCACTGTTGCCATGCTTGAGTCAATTGATGCTGCCACTTGGCCAATCCATCTCGTTGGGGGTCTTCCTCTTTTGTCTGACCCTCCACCTTACCAAACATGATAACCTTCTCCAGTGACTGGTCCCTCTTGACAATATGTCCGAAATATGAGAGATGAAGTTTGGTCATCTTGACCTCCAAGGAGCACTCTGGCTGCACTTCTTCCAAAATGGCTCTATTGGTTCTTTTGGCAGCCCATCACACTTTCAATATTCTCCTCCAACACCATAACTCAAAAGCATCAATTCTTCTGTTTATTAGAGTTCCATAAAAGTAGAAAACATTTGGAGGGAAGAAATGTTTTTCAAAAGTTTCCCCCTCAATCTAAACAGACACCCCCCCCCCAATTTATAAATAAGCTAAAAAGTAGAGGTTGGTTTGTGTATATATATATGGGGGTGGGGAAAATAGATACACCATTTTCCATTCCTCCTTACCCTCTCACCACCCTGCTTCATCTTTAGTTGGGTTCTCTGTATGATTCCAGGTTTCTCACCAATTGTCATGTCAGAAAAACCCAACGAGCTGGCTTCCTATAAACACAGAGATTAAGAATACAGTACTCTAAGTATAGGACAAGCTGAAAGAGCTACAAGAATGGATTCAAAATCCTAAATTCATACTCCAATGAGGTCCTCTCTCATAATATGCCAGTGACCTTAGAGACCCAAGCACTTAACCTCTCACACTTGTACTTTAGAGTGTAAGGAAATGTAAGCGGTAGAAGGGCCAACAGCTAGCTAGTCATAACAGGGTTTGTTGTTAGGTACTGTTGAGTTGATTTTCAACTCATAACAATGCCGTGACAGAGTATTACTGTCCCATAGGTTTGGTTTGGTTTTAAATAAAGCTTTTATTGTGAATTGAGTGATGGTTTACATGGCAACGTCGATTTTGTACTCAAATCCCCTCTGTGTGCCATGGTATTTGCCTCTATTCCTGTTTTTTGTATACACAAAAACACACAGGAATATAACTGTTTAAACAGTCGAGCGGCACATTTTGCAAGCCAGCCTCCTGTCTGGTCCCATAGGGTTTTACTAGCTGTAATCTTTATGAAAGGAATCCTGGTGGCACACTGGTTAAATGCTTGGCTGCTAACTGAAAGGTTGATGGTTCAAACCACCTACTGGTTCTGTGGGAGAAAACACCTGATGATTTGCTCCTGTGAAGATTACAGCCTAAGAAACCCCACTGTTGCTAAGTACCGTGGAGTTGCTCTGGGGTAGCTCTAGTCTATCACATAGGGTTGCTATGATGGAAAATTAACTTGAGGAAGATCACCAACTCTTTCTCCCTCAGAGCCACTGGGATGGATTCCAACTGCCAAGCTTTCAGTTCACAGCCAAGCACTTTTACCATTGTGCCACCAAAGCTCCTTTATAACAGGGAAGTTCAGTGTGTGAGTTTACCATATCATTTTAGGGGTCCAACTCTTGCACTCCCAGCCTCCAACTGAAAACATAGTTTGAGTTAAGGTATATATATATATGAACTGCCCCTTTCACAGAGCTGATGGAAAACTTTAAAAACTTTACTCCATTCCTTTATGCCAACTTTTTAAGATAGGCACTTTGACACATTGTTTCTAATAATTCAATAATCTATTGTTTTTAAGTACCCTGGAGTTGGTTCCAACTCATAGTGGCCCTGCACAGGGTTTCTGAGGCTACAAATCTTTACAGGAGCAGAGAGCCTCATTTTTCTCCCACGGAACAGCTGGTAGTTTCAAACTTGCCAACCTTGAGGTTAGCAGCCCAGTTTGTAACCACTACACTACCAGAGCTCCTCTTCGATAATCTATTAAGTATTCTTAATTTTACAGATGAGGAAACTGATAGTCATAGTCCCAAAGGCAGAGCGAGGTATAGGAACCAGGTCTCTCAGGTGCTAGGGCCCACACTTTTCACTCTCTGACACTGCCTTTTTATCTATCGGAGATGGGATTAGAATCCACAGCTGTGAAGAGAGAGGGGCCTTAAGCCAGCACCCAATGACTATTTTTCTTTTTAATGATTTCAGAAAGTTACAGATTTCCCTGAGAATTGAACCTATTTCCATCTCCCATGTTACAGATAAAATATTAACACCCTGCAGCCAGCCTGAGGGCAGCACTAGTGTGTTAATGGTTTAAAAAATGATTCCAATGTCTGCATGCCCTCAGGCCTAGACCGTTTATTACTGGAGGCCAAAGAGCTCTTGGGATTTCTTTTACCTTGAGGAGAAATGGAAGGAACAACCCGGGGGTTTGGAGAGTGCGGTTGCAAAAAGGATTTCTGCAACTCCAGTGCAAAATGATAGTCCATGTGTTCTGGCATCTGCCACACTGGTACCAAGGAACTACACTTCTCACAGGACACTTGGTCTTCAGCATCCAAAACACTTGTAGTAGTAGCTGCTCTTTGAGCCACATCCCAAGCCGATTTGGAAGTTAAAGAAGCAACACTGCGTGGGCTGCTCTGGGCTGCAGCCGTCTCCTCAAGAGCTGCTTTAGAGCATTCTGGCGTCAACACC